GGTCCACTGTGACCAGCCTACAGCGAGCTCCATGGCGTCCACCCTCATAATTTCACAAGCAGCAGTTCACGGCCCGATATCGCGACCCTGCTGCCTGGAAAACAGTGAAAAATTGACCAATTTGTTTTCAATGCCACTATATCGGTCAATTCCCGCTGGTCCTCGCCACCTCCGGCAACGTCTGAACCTTATTTCTTACAGCTTTTTCACATCTACCACGCAGTATTCTTCGCCAAACTTCTACAGAAAGTTCAACAGCCGATCTTCGTCACCACATGGTTGCCAGTCACGTTCGCCTTCAGGAAGTCGCCACTCGTCTCACTAGCTTCAGTCTCGCAGGTCATCGTCCCCATCGAACCCTGCACTTACACCAAATGATATGGGGCGAGTGATAGGTTCAGCAAACCACTGCCAAAACTGTTGGCAGCCAAACAACATGCCTGAGCAACCTCTCGCGCAAGCGGTTAACGAACAATCGTCTTCATCATCTTCGGAAAATGCAACGCTTGCTCATGTCGATAATAAACCACAACAATATTGTGTATAAGCGTAAATATTTCAGTGATTCCTAATCATCACGGGTTTCTCCCTGGACGCTCAACTACCACAAATTTTGCTAGTTTGACGACGCCAATCTCTTGACGTATTTCTCACAAACGTAGTCTACTGTGACCACAGGAAGGCTTTTAACTTAATCGCCCCACCCCACTGTTTTCGGTCAACTTGAAAACTTTCATGTTGACTCGTCCAGTGGGAATCTTCTGCACAGCTTTCTGCTTAGTAGTTCATGTTATGTTGGCGTAAATAGGCAGTTCTTTCTTGTACGAGGTGACTAGTCAAGTCCTTCAATGGTCGGTATGATATACCCAATCTTATTTTAGGAGCGCAGCCTCTTAGTCTAACCTTGTACCACGTCTGGCGTAACCAGCTGTCATTACGAAAGAGTATATTAGATGGCGCTGTATTATGTAAGTGCATGCAAACTGCAGTTGAGTCATGTTATTTTGGATGGCGCTGTACTGCTACTCTCTGATTGGCTGCAGCGTGGGTTGTGCCTTTGTGCGCGGAGAACGAGTGCCTGTCTCGATGTCCTGGACCATCATCGTAAGTGTCGGATCGATGGTTGGGCACGAACGAAGCGGAGCGCTGAGCGCGGATGGCTGTGGGGGTTCGTGTTCGTCGCCAGCAGACAGACAGACAAACAGAGAGACAGACAGAGAGAGGCAAAGAGACAGACAGACAGACAGACAGACAGACAGACAGACAGACAGACAGACAGACAGACAGACAGACAGACAGGTATGCAGGCAAACAGACAGGCACACAGACAGACAGACAGACAGGTATGCAGGCAAACGGAGAGGCACACAGACGAAAGGAAGCATCGACAGACGAACGGGTGGAAGCATGCACGGAAACATGGATGGACGCACGCAACGACCGATCGACGCATGAATGAACTGACGGATGCTTCGCTCCACTTATCACCATTCACTTCACGTATATGCTGTGAATTTTTCTATTAACGTTAACGATTTTTCTCTTGCAATTCGTTATTATTCTTTCCTCTTGTATGCTGAGGACTTGAAGATATTTAAGAAAATTCAGTTCAGTTATCGACTGCCGCTTACTGCTGTCAGATTTGTGTTCTTCCTTCAAAGGTGTGATAACAATAACCTTTGCTTGAATACCTCAAAGACAAATAATGAGCATATCTCACAAAACATCTATCACGTAATTTCTATACACTGTCAATACTATGTCCTAATGTTAGGTTTATGAATTCAGTGAACTTGGTGCTCTTTTTGATAGCAAGCAAAATTTTTTCTGCTCCCACTAAATGTGCTGCCATGTGTGGTCTTCGTTCTCTCGGCTGCATTTGTGGGGTCTCTCGAGAAAAAAATCAGTTCTCCTACAGCTTTCCGAAAATTAAACACCACACTATGTCTTTCTCAACAAGCATATGCATCTGTGATCGGGAACGTCATTGCTAATTCTCGCAGTGACGCTGTTGAGCGAGTTCAGAAAACACTCTCAAGCATTTACAATAATCGTTTTGCTAAAATAGCTTTGGATCTCGTTCGAACACGCCAGATCATTATCATTGCCTTCACTTCACTGCAAACGAAATCTTGCTGACCTAATACTTCTTTATAATCTAGTTCACGGTATGATATTCTGCCGTTTAGTGCATAAGTTAACTAAAGAGGATCGACCTTTTTTTTGTACCTGTCAACTTCTTTCAACACTTTACCTCACACAGAACACAAATTTTATGTGATGTCAGCTCTCATGATCTTGATATTTTTCACATTTCACTGTCATTGTTTTTATCTCTGCTCTGCACTGTTTTCACGTATTTTTTCACAATGCACAAAGTCTTCCCTTTTGTTCTTTCAGGAAGGTTTCTAGATACTTGTGTATATTTTCCTTTATTTTTCAATTAGTTTCTACGATCCTTTTGTTCTCTTTTTATTCTTGTGAATTTGCGCTATGTTTTTCCTGAGCGTGTTCAATCGTTTTAGTTGATTTTGCAGAAGAGTGTCTGTATTGCTAAGTTTACGTTTGCGTGCACCCCTACTAAGACAGCATAGTTGTTATAGGGCACGTAAAACAAATAATATATTGAACTATTATAAAATAATCTTATTACATTATTAGTACCATAATAAAAGTCAATAACTAGTATTAGTTTTATATACAAGTAAAGCATATGTATAAAACCAATTTCGCCGCAATTTCAAAATGTGTTTCCCCTTTGTGGTGTTTATGGATACATGCCACAGTTCAATTGTGTACGTCGCATATCTTGTCTGCTTGTTGCTCGAACTTTCCACGACTGGCATCTGAATCCAGCTCGTTTATTTAGTTGCAGCAATCCAAAATTTTACTAAATCCTCACCTGGAAGACTCCGCTTTCATTGCCATATTCAGAAAAATAAAATTGTCTTAGATGCTGCTGCTGCGGCTGACGCCCCTTTCAAAAATTTTCGTAATATTTTTTTCCTCTCCTGTCGCTGCTGGGAGTGGCAGAACGTGGTGACCTCCTTACGAAAAAAAAACACCATTTGTATATAAGAGATATTGAGCAGCTGCTTCTGTGAGTGACTCGCCCTTCACAAACAAGTAGTCTGTCAGCTGAGATTGGTGTTTTAAGGACTTTCATCGTGATCCGGCCACTGATGTAATCTTTTGTCATACGTCCGCTCTGCTTCCTGTAAAAGTATTTTATGATCTTAGGCAAGCGAATATTTCTACATCGCAATTTTACTAGTTTGGGTGGAAGAAATAAGTGGCGATCAAAGCACTGCCGTCCTAAGTCATATTGTTCCGCCACAAAATCGACACCTTCTTTTTCACCTTGTGGGACCTATTGGATTGTAGGAAAAATGATATATGAATCGCGCTGAACGTGTTTATTTCTCAGGCCACTATCTAGTTCTCCCAGGTGACAGATAGCGTTTTGACAGGTTGTCTACCGAAAGGTGTCCCTTCTTTTCAGCTTTGTGTGGGTGTCACGGTTGAGTTGTAGACGCTGCCACCAGCAAGCCGCAGAGTCAGCGATGCCTAGAATTAGATAGGTGTGGTGCGGGTACTTTGATCTATAGTGCTAGGAGAGGTCAAAATTGCAGCCCGATTAGGAAAGGTTGCGGTGAAGACCCTGGCTCCTGAAATGCTGGTGGTTGGTGTTAAAACCGCATGACGAACAGGGGCACACGGCTTCGAACACGCCGTGATGACCGCCGCACTCCACAATTGCCGGGCCATCCACTGGCATTTAATGCCTTTGCTGCGCTGGTTAAAAACGGCGGGAAAACTTGGAAGGAAAAGAACGCCTTTGAAAGTAGTGCAGGAATGACACAAACAGCCTTTCCCTGTGGGCCATGACACTGACTCGGCTGCACTCGAGACCCTCTTTTGAAGACGCTCCTTCGCTTGTGCTACGAAGGCTGCCAGCAGAATCTTCAGCAATCTTGCTGCTGTGCTCTCAAGTGCTTAAACTCTCGTTCCTATTAGAACGTTGCTGTTCCCAATGAGTTATAGATTACTTTACTTACTAAAATAAAAATTAATCTAAAACCTAAACTGCAACTTCTACTTTATTATTTCTTCGAGTACATTTTAGAGACGTCCCCCGGGCTAAAAGCTGCCGTCAGCAGCTTTACAGGGCCCGGCAGGCCTTGTACTTGAGAGCACGAGAACATTACGTTTTAGTAGAAAAAAAAATCAACACTCAGATGCATGATTAGACGATGTTGAACAGTCAATAATACACATATTTGCATGAATAGCAGAACACTCAAACAAATATGACCATTTGATTTACATCGTTGTACATGACTACGCCATATACATGCCTAAATCACATGTTAGTGCATGCCCTGTGTGCCTGTTTGTTTGTGTCTCTGACGTTTAGTTTTCAGTTTGTGTGCTTCTATGTGCTATATTCAAGCTACATTAAGCCTGCTTGTTTATGCCGAATGGTTGTGCATCCGTGTGGCCTGATCGATGATACGCACAATCATAAAAAGTGACCCTGGGGCGGCTTCGAAAAGTAGTAATGGAGCTTTGGAAAAGCCTTCATAACCCCACCTTCTACTAGGCTACATCTTTAAGTGGTGTTTAAGCATAGTATGTTATGAGGACATGTACATATGTTTTTTATGATACTGTGTCGTTCTGAAAAAAAAAAGAAGATGTGAAAACATATAAACAATTTAGACTTCCTCCAAGGCTTTTCGTACGCCCGTGAAGTGACCGTGTTGTATGTGGAGCGAAGCGTCTCTTTGATACCCAACCAGCTGTTCAACTCAGCTAGAGAAATGAAAGTGCCCTTTGTAGGGTAGTTCAAACAAACAAATTGAGGCAAACGCCAAGTACGTAACATTATTTGCACATCAGCAGCTCCAAATCCTATCCGTACAATTGTACAGATTGTGGTGCATGTTTGTTAGTCATTCCTTCGACATTACTATTCACACTGCTTTTTATCCACGCAGGAATTGCACCCTTTGAGGGAATATGTAGTGAATACAGTGTAGCAGTGGTAAAGGACGAGGCTGGCTGGTACACTGGTGTGCACTCCATGGTCCACGAAATGGGGCATCTGTAAGTGTACTCATTATTCAGACTGGGTTTTAACTATGCTTATGTATACACACACACACACACGTATATATATATATATATATATATATATATATATATATATATATATATATATATATATATATATATATATATTTATATATATATATATATATAGCACAACGGGAGCGTTGTCAACAAGGATAAGTATATTTATTTCCCAACAGTTTCGGAAGGGTCCTCCCTTCATCAGGGGATGAGTTATACTGACATATGTATATATACACACATATATATATATATATATATATATATATATATATATGTGTGTGTGTGTGTGTGTGTGTTCGTAAGTATCAATTTTCGTAGCTTCATCGCGGCTTATTGTAGTCATGCCGCAGTTGAGACTGTATTTTCAATGTTAAACATGATTTCAAACAAGTACTTCCACGTTGCTAGAATACAACTGCGTGAATAAAATACGTGCACTTTCGCTTTCGCAAAAGGCACACCCGGAGGAGAATATATGGCTCCAGTATTAGGGCGTTTGCGAGAATCGGCGTAAGGGTACCTCTAATATACAATCAAGCTGGGAAGTTTACCACCTTGTATAATGTCGCACAGTCGTACTCAAGAGCTTTGGTAGTAGCACACACCACAGTTGAAAATCTAGGTTGATAAAATACTGCACATCAAGACCACACAGTCCTGACAGTACGCTTCATTTTTACGGCACAGTTGTCGTTGAAAACCTTGTACTCGTGTCGTCTGGTGCTCGCCATCAATGACGTTTGCAGCACCTCACGTGATCAACAGTGGAGTCGAGTTGTTGCCGAAGGGGAACTGAACAAAAAAGTAATAAACAATCATAACTTTCTTGGTGAAGCGGAATTTGAACCCTTGCCCTCGCAGTCAGAATATAAATGCCATAACCGTTGGCCTGCACAACCACGCTTTCACAAGGTTAATCTATGGGTAGCGTTGACATCTTTCGGACGGATGATGACTTGGCACAGGGTGATGATACAAGTTTTGACATATGCGTTCTGAACCAAATCATGTTATCATGACAGGGTCCAAGAACTTCTTTAGCAGAAACTTTGGTGTCTTGTGAAAGAGACTAGACGTGATAATAATTTTGACCCATGTAAGTCACTAAAAAGTTGAAATAGATGCAATTGGATATTTCAAATTCGTCATCTGGAGAGAATTGTACCGAAGCGTTCTGCATGGCAAGAAGGGCTTCTACCAAATACATTCTTGTTGCTTTAAAAACTATGTGAATAATAAGTCATGCAAGGAGTTCTTTTAACACGTGGACAATTGCGTCGCAGAAGCGCTGAATTTTACCAGGTGTCAAAACATGTAAGAGTTTTGCAAACAATGGGTCAATTAAACTTCCACAAATGAGAAATGCCTAAAGCACAACTATTGATTATTATTAGAAAAAAAAGGGTAGACGTTGAAGTACGTGTGCTGCCTCACGGGAGCATATTAGTTAATTTGCTAATACAGAATAATTACAACGTAATGGGCAATTCACCACTGCACTTGCCGTACGTATTCTAGGAAAGTTTGAAATATCCTATGTTTTGAGAGTAAACAGCCATGTCAGTCAAATGGAGAGGAGCTGTCTCAGCTAGTGGCTGAAAAGGTGGTGACAACGAGACATGATTACGCAGTCGCGTTCAAAGTGGGAAGGTAAAGACGAAGAGTCCCTCATTTTTCTGCTGTACATCGAGACCTGTTCGTATAAATAACCTGAATTACTTCTTAAAACTTGGCATCTATGTGACAGCGTATTGCCAGGTTCCTTTTCTCAAGTCTTGTTAACACCCGAATACACTACACAATTCTCAGCGCAAGCCACACCAGCAGTTTTTAAGAAGCTTCAGGACTGTAGTAGATCATTTCGATAAGATCACGCAAACTCCGCGAACTGTACAGATTATTCTGGAACCTACTTCACCACTAGCGATAACGCTAGAACATTCGATGGCAAGTGTAGAAACGCCGACGCGCTTCGCCACTTGTCAATTGATCGACGGCCGACGCGGCATGCACCGCTATCAGAGCAAGTATGCTACCGTAACCCGACTTTCCGTTTAGCGTGCACAGGTTTGCTGAATAAACAGTTTGATCTGACCATTCCGCCTTCTGCCTTCGACTCCGTCACAACCCCGGGACATCTGGTGGAGGTGCTGCATCGTTTATGTACCGCACACCCCCGTCAAGCCGTGAACTCTGCCCACGTCGCGGATAAAACACCAACGCCAACCAGGAGCTGCGAACAAGCCGCCGACAGCAAGGTCTACCACTGCAAAACGGGCCTCTACAGACAAGGCGCGAAAGAACAAGGCTATGACCTCTAGTGCGGCGATGATGACAACCGCAGCGTCCCCGCCCGCGACCGTCAGGCATGAACCCGAGGAACCACCAACTTTCCACGGGTCATATTTCGAAGATCTGGAGTCCTGCCTGGAGACATGCGACCGCTTGACCGCCTTCAACAAAAGCTTCGTCGTGTGTACTTCTACCTGGAAGATATCGCGAAGACCTGAGTCAAAACCGGGAGCCTGCGCTTCAAACGTCGGATGTCTTCTGCGGCGCATTCCTGCAAACGTTCGCGAGTGTCACTCGCAAGGAGAGGGCCTGCTTCTTTACTAGAGACCCGGGTTCAGCTACAAAATGAAAATGTCATCATTTTCACAAAAGAACTGACCCTCCTATTCTGTCACGCTGACACGGATGTGCTGAGGAGAAGAAAGTTCGTTTCCTCATGCCGAGGGCTCAAAGAGGAGCTCTTCGTGGGACTGATGAGGAAACCACCGAACACGGTCAAGGAATTCGTATCGAAGGTGAACACTATCAAAAAGACCTTGCACATGTGTACCTAGACAGTATAATCGTCACCTGACTCCCGGCTGCGGTGCTGCTCAAGCCATTGACTCCAATGACCTGCATGAACGATCCGAGCGATCGTGCGGGAAGAGCTGCGCAAGGTGTTTATTTCAACGCAGCCTTAAGTGAGTTCGATCACCGACATTGTGCGAGAAGTTCGGCCATTGCTTCTAATTCCCCAAGCACCGGTGCCCGAGCAGGAAGCTATGAGCTACACCGCTTCAGTGTGCCACAACGCTCCTCCCCGTCCACGCCAAAACTCCACCCCGTTGCTCTTCCGTCACCAGATGCCACCACCGCCACCACCCCCAATGACGCCCTACCATTCGCCAGCGGGCCAGCGCAGTGTGTCGAGGAAAACAAAACGTTTGGCGTGCACCTAACAACCGCCCGCTCTTCTACCACTGCGACGAAGCCGGGCACACCTACCGTCGTTGTCAGTACCGACAGATGGGAATACGTGGCTTCGCCGTCAATGCATCACGTCCGCAGCCAGGGGAACAGCCACGCGACATCGCTGACTACCAGACAGGAACTTAATGGACACCACGAAGTCCTTTCCGTTCACCGTCATCCAGCCGCCGCGTGTCACCGCACCACCAGCACCACTCTGGCCTAACTTGGGGCCTGTCTCTTAGCCCGTATACTGGAAGCTAAGGGCAGCAACCGATGCAGACGGCGAACAAGCGAGCTCGACGTTCTTATCGACGGCCACAGCGTGACCACTCTAGTTGATACTGGAGCCGGCTATTCCGTCTTCAGTGGGTCGTTCGCCGCGAAGTTGAAGAAAGTTAGGACAGCTGGGGAAGGCCATGAAATTCACACAGCCAGATGTCATCTCGTACCGCTGGCAGAAATTTGCACAGCGAGAGTCACCATTAACGGCCATATTTATCGTGCAGATTTCGTAGTTCTACGGCGTTGCTCGAAAAATGTCATCCTTGGCTTGGACGTCTTTGGCTTCATGGTGCAGTCATCAACTTAAAAACAAAGTCCGATAAAGTTATCCACAGAAGAAACACTACCACCACGCACGCCGTCAGGAAACAACGCTTCGAATATGCTGGATGAATGAGTCATCATTCCGCATTGCTCCGGCGTCATTATCTCAGTCTGCGCTCTTAAATTACCTGACTTGGAAGGCGTCGTTGAAGGCAGTCAGCATCTGTTGGTCACCCTCAATGTTTGCGTCGCAAGAGTTATTGAAGAGCTGCACGGAGGCAAAGCAACGGTTATGCTCACAAATTTAAGCAACGAATACAAACAAATGAACAAAGGAACGACGGTCGCATACATCGAAGAAATTGTAGAAGCCACCAGTGCTTTCGCCCTCGCCGATTGTGCGGGACCTGTTCAGAGAAACCAAGCCGCTCCCTCAGCTTTCGATGTAAATCCTAGCCTTCCTAACCATAAGCAAGAACAGCTCAAGACCCTGCTTCTGTAGTACGAAGATTGTTTTTCATCGTCATCGAAAATTCGGCAGATTCCAATCACGAACGATCGCCTCATAACCGAGGAAAATGTTAGACCGCTTCATCAGAGTCTGTACAGCGCTGCGACGCGAGAACGTGAGGCCATGAAGAGACAAGTTAATGAAATACGTCGGGATGACATCAACCAGCTGTCCAAGAGCCCATGGGCCTCCCCCGTGGTGTTAGTGAAGAAAAAGAATAAAACTCTACGTTTCTGCGTTCATTATCGCTACCTGAGCAAAATCACAAGAAAGAATGTTCATCTTCTCCCACAAATAGACGACGCACTTGATCGGCTCCAGAAAATCAAGTACTTTTGGTCCATGAACCTCAAGACTGGCCATTGGCAAATCGAAATCGACGAAAGAGACCAATGGGAGACGGCGCTTATAACACCGGATGGCCTCTTCAAGTTTAAGGTGATGCCCTTCGGTTTTAGCCCAGCGCCTTCCACTTTTCAACGCGTTATGGATACAGCACTGGTAGGACTGAAGGGCAGACTTGATTTGTGAACTGTGACGACGTCATCGTGTTTTCCTCCTGTTTTGATGAGCATCTTGGGCGCCTTGAAGCTGTACTTCAAGCCATTAAGACATCCGGACTCACACTGATGCCAGAGAAGTGCAGATTCGCGTACGGAGAGCTCTT